TTCCGTTGAGCAGATTCGAGACGAGGTGAGTGATGTGGTTTAGCTTGCTGGTTCAGGATTTTTTTTTGGGGGGGGGGGGGGGGTCCAGTGGATGTATTCGGTATGTTCGTAATAGTCTCGGGTGGATGAGGAAGATGCTGATAATTAACAAATTACACACATAAGATTTTTTTTGATCCTACTACCCCTTTCTAAGCTTGCGTGTTACTTTTCTTTTCTTAAAATTAAAACTAAATCTAAATGTCATGGGTTCTTATCGTAATGCTTCAGCCATGGATTTTTTTTAATATAAAGAAAAAAGTGAAAAACTCTTGGGACAAATTTCCCCCACTCGTCTTCTTCTTCTAAGACTGATTATAGTAAAAGAATTGATGCCGAGAAGCCCTGTCAGAAAGATACACAAATAGATGTCTGAAGACCAACTTGCTTTGATCACAAGAAAGACGGCCGGAAGCCAAGGTCATATCTCAATCGTAACAAGAAGAGAGACACGAACGGAAGCAGGTAAGAGAAGATGTGATTCAATTCTACACCAGAGATATGATAGGTACATGATTGAACAGAGTTCAAATGAGTTTTCGACCATTTAATATCTAATAGTGCCTCTGAGCTTTTCGTCTACAATTCCGCAGGACAACATAGCTGTAACGGAATTTCGAGAATTCCCCCCAGTCTCTCTGTGGAATATCTTGACCGTATGACTTGAAGAAAATCAAGGGGGGGGGGATCACTTTTGAGTATAACCTTGATGTACTCGATGCCGTTGAATTGCGGCTACAAATAGTGAAGTGAACGAATACACATGCCACATTCTGCGTCAAACAGAAAAACAAGAAGCGTCCTGCGACTAAGATCACAACCTGATTTAAAATCGGTAGTAAAAGTATCAGTATCACATTTCCGTACATATGTAAACTAAATAAAGACACCATTTCCCCTTACACGCCGTCATCCCAGTCATATCCATCGTCACACATAAACAATCCCCCTCCATTCCATCCACCCATTACGCAGAAAGCCGTTGCGCATAACCAAACATTGAGAAAAAGAAAAGAAAAGCGAGAAGTACATAACAGAAAGCAGGACGAAAAAAAAACGAACAAACAAAAAAGGGAATGGGGTATCTCAAGGCTCAGACGAATTATGCAGACTGGAAGAAAAAAGGCATTTGAAACGCGTCGCTCGCACCGAGCGTAAAAGCCCTTGTTGTCAGTTCTCATGGGTTCGTCTTCTCACGAGCCGGTGAAGAGATGGGTGAAAAACGCAAAGGAAACGAGAAACGAGAAACGAACAAAACAGAAAATTGTTGGAAACCTTTACTCGCTGAGTAAAAGACTCCAACAGTGCTGAAAAAAAACAAAGAAGGTCAAAGGAAAGAGTGAGGCTACTCCGACATGTTGAGTGCCGGTTAGTCACCTCTTACTTGACCTTCTCAAGCTGGTAAACGTTGTGGAGGAGATAATGAACATCTCAGAGCTCCATCCTCTCCACAACACCCTCACTCATTGTCCGTACTTTGCTCACGGTCCTCTCCCTGCCAACGAGTGATTCGACGTCGCTGTCTCCCTCGCTCTCGTAGTAGTAATCAGCGTCCATGCTCATTTCTCTCGCAGGGATATATTGCTCCTCCTCTGCATCGACAACCTCGCCCGGATGATCAATTACCATGTTGTCGAGCTCATCGCTATCGCCATACGCCTCGAGTCCCTTTTTAGCACGAGCTCCCAGCCAGTACTCGGCACGCTTTCTGCTGCCCGCATTGGCTGAAGATTCGTATTTGGTTGCTTTGAACTTGGACATGAGCGACATGGCAACGCTAGGCGAGTTGGAGAGTGCCGATATACCACGCAGGTAAAAGTAGGCTACCCGCTTGCGCTCCTTGTTGTAGAGGAAGAAGTGATGACTCCAGATTGCACCATCATCGGCAAAAGGATCATCTGATGGTTCCCAAGCATAGTATTCACAACTCGACATATCCATCTCGCTGTCAACGAGCTGCCACGAGCGGGGGCTCCATATCGGCGAGCCGAGCGGGGTGACGGCGCCTGCGGGGAGGCCCGCCGAATACACCTGGGGCCGCAGGTAGTACATGGTCGTATCGATCTTGTGCATGAAACTGTGCATGGTTTCGCGGCGGAACTCATCGGGGTTCAGTGTATTTGCAAAGTCGTAGTCAATGTGTGTCGCATTGAGCGTTGCAATAAGGTAGGCAAAGGTGTGACGGTTCGCAGCCTCGCTGAAGGTGCCAAACGGGGTATCTCTGGAAATGTCAAGTTGGTCAGCGAATTGCGCAGCGGATTGCTCCGACAGCCCCGCAACCGCCGATAGCAAGTCCTTGTGTCGCTCTTCCAACGTCTTCTCAATGCGCTTGTATAATTTCTTGTCACTCCCAGCTGCCTTTACAGTCCATAGATCGCATCCGCCAATAATGGCAGTATCTTGGGTGTCGAAGTTGAGGGCGAGGTTGACCTCGTGGAGGGCGCACAGGTCGAGGTACTGCGTCACCGGATCAGCTACATCATCATCATCACCACCATCACCGGGGCCTTGTCGCATCAACTACCCACCTTCATTGTGCCAATACCAGGTTGTTTTCGATCGAAAAGTATGTAAATTTAAATGTCCGAGTTGGTTTTTGATGTCGAGAGGAGGATAGGGGTTCAGAGCGCAGTGGCTACTGGTTGCGGGCGGTGGTGTGTTCGGGAGGGATGGCCTGCGCGAACCGATACAACGAGTAGACACGACTCTAGGCTGGCTGCAGAGAGGAGAGAGTACTGTTGTTCGGCCAGACAGTCGTCTAGCAGGCGGTGGACATGTGTATAGCGTGAGCGGAACTGTGGTGTGAGGTGTCGCTGTTACGACGTGGTCGCGATTGCGGAGACAGCGGTGATCAGCTTGGCGGTGTCGCCGAGCTAACAAGGGCATGTGTGTCGGGTTAACATTCCTGATTGGTTCATACAAGCCCATGTCCTCAACCAACAACAGCAGCTGATAAGACCAGATGGGTAACTGGTGAGAGACGACTGGTGTTGAGCGCTGGTGTCAGTTGGGTGCCGGCAATGCGCAATGTTGCGCGAGTACGTAATGTGTCATCTGAAGTAAGTCGAACGAGCATGTGAACTGGGATAGATCAATTGCCTGGTAAAGAACCCCACTGGGTTCGGCAATGTGTCATTTCATATGTGCCTGGCAAGGCTCTGAGTAGAAGGACCAAGACCTGATCCGAACCGACTGCTGTCACAAGGTGCAGATGCGCAATTGCTAGCCAGGTATGGACAATGTCTGTTGCTAGGTGGTTAGGTTTAGTGACGCAGCAAGAAAACGGTAACAGAAGAGAACGAGCAACAATGTCAAGGGCAGAAGTCTCGATGGCATGATGTATGATCACGTTCGAGCTCAGTAAACCACTTGTGTAAGACCTAGCTGTGTCGAGCAAAGCCCGCCAGTCGGACATGTTTGATTGTAGTAGATAGAGTACAGCCACCGCCATCCGCTCTACAAGGCAGGATGGCAGGTGGTGCGTTCTCCAATAACCCGACTCCCCGCGCCGTGTGGTATCGTATCGCCGTAACGCCTGTCCTTGAAGTGTGTCTGTGGCATGAACCGTGTCGTTGCCGTATTCCCAAACAAAGCCCCGCCATTTTCCCGATGATTGACGCCATGAATCAAGGTCCTGTACGCGAATGTGGATCTGGCCTCTCACATGATGCCCTGCTCGCGGAGCCGGTTTTTGAAGATTTCGGCACTGCCACCATCATCCTGGAGGCCGAAGGCACGGTCAGTGAGGGCTAATGGGACGAGGCAGGAACAGCAGCCAGGCCGAGTGTATGTGATTCAATGCTCCGTAGACGGCTTTACATGATCTTGGTAACAATGTCGTCCTCAGTCTGGACGACAGGCGCGTCAGCCAAGTGGCGCTCTGGGTGTAGCGAAGCGGACCGGAGACGCATCACACTTCACTCACCTCCATGTCCTCGAGGCTGTCTTGCTGTCCTATGCACCGCAGTACGTTTTTCTTGCTGCTCTCCTGCATCTCACCGGCAAGCAGGAGCTCGTCGAGGATGAAGTAAGCCTTTTGAAAGTTGAAGATGATGTCGAGCTCGCAGACGTTGCCGTAGTACTTGTCCATCTGCTCGACATAGCGATGGACGATTTCGAGTGTAATCAGCTCATTGTCGGTAGCGTCGCATCCGGCGATGAAGAAGAGCGAGGCATATCGGCGGTAGACAACCTTTGTATCTGCATGCTTGTGAGTCGAGCAAAGACACTGTCTTCCAGGGGCATACTGACCCTTGTACTCAAGGAAGTTGCACATGCGGGTGCGACGGGCAAGGACAAGCTGCGAGACGTCCTTGACTATCTTTGCCTTTTCCTTGGGCGCCAGCGTGGTGAACCATTTGGCTAGACGCTACGTGGGAGCATCAGCAGGGGGAGCTTTGCATTCTGGGGTGGGGGACCAACCACTTTGCCCTGCCGTGAGAGCAGAATGAGGTATCTAAATGAATTGTCAGTGAATGCACTGAATGTAATAAGGGTGTGCAGGCGCTATCATACTTGATTGTCATGATGTCGTGTGAGGTGGAGAGGAGTGACTACTGTAGTAGTGCCGTGGCCTGGGAAAGGTGCAACTTGGGCGATCGGCGGTCACAGGCCAGCCCCGCGACTCTTGAGACGTCAATGCGCCCTCGACCATATTCCCCGCCGTTGCCTTTGCCTCAGGACTGATATGCAAACACACATATTGTGAACTTGATGCGCCAATAGTCTTATCGCATACACCAAACCACTCTCTTCATATCTTCTTCGTCTTCGCTGTTTTATTCAGCCGCGCTATAGCGACCTAGGCGCAACCTTTTTTTTGAAACCCGCCCCACTGGCTGACAAACATTGAGCGCATTACAACCTTCCCTCTAAGGCCATATACTACAACAAAACCCGGGGAATAGACTCAAATATACCGTCTTCTTCACCAAGTAGCCTGCACCCTACAAACCGCAGCCATGAAGCTCATACTCTCGACCTCGTACGGCCACCCCATATTTGTCTACTATCAAATCTAACGACATCAGGAATATTATGTCTGGCGGACCGTCCGTCATACGACGTCCGCTCTTCGAAAAGTCAAACACTGAGCTCACATCCTCGCTGCGCGCAAACTTCTCCGCCCACCAGCCCTCCACACCACCCTCAAAACCAAACTACCGCACATGGACGACCGCGACCGACTCCGCGCTATACGTACCCACACATACCCCCTCGCCGCTCACCGAGCCCCGAGAGTCCTACGACATCACAGTCAAACTATTCTACCTCCCAAACATACCTGCCGACCGTCGCTGCGCCCAAACAAGGGAAGCTATAGAACTCGTCCTCAAGGAGCTAGGAACATCCTCAATAGACCTCTTAATCGTCAGCTTCCCAGGCATATCCTTTGACGCCGACGACGAAGAATCCGACTTTGAAGATGATGACCCCCCCTCTCCTCCCTCCGCAACCCAATCCACATCTGAAAACACCTCCGGTGACTGTCTAGACGCCGGCGTACCCCCAGAAGACCTCGAGACTATGATAAAAACATGGCACGCGCTCGAGAAACTGCAATCAGAGGGACTCGTCTCGAAACTCGGCATCGCAGAATTCGGCGTTGCGCGCCTGACACGCTTCCTCGAGCGAACAAACATAAAACCGAGTGTTAATCAGATCAATGTGAGGGACTGCTGTGTTGTGCCCAAGCCGCTTATCTTGTATGCGAAACAACAACAGATTGAGCTGCTCACACATAATGACTGCACGAATATCCTGCCAAGGGGGACCTTGAGGCAGATCCTGGGTGCCGGTGAAAACGGATCAGGTGTCTTGGCTGGGGAAGGCAACGAGGAGGGATTGAAGGGGGATGTGGAACCGCAGTGGGTAGTCAAGTACACGGCTGTGGTGAAGGATAGAGGTGTGGTGGAAAATAAGGGATACTTTGCTGTTGCGGAGTTACGGGATGCATAGACTTGGTGTGATATGTAAAGGTCAAGTATGCATGTGATTTGACGTATTTATTGGGAATTCATAATATACAGATATCGTCTACCCAGTGTTTCATTTACAGTCTTTGTCCTCGAGATTCAATTACCTCCTTCATCTAAGCCCCACTGAAAATACCGCATTCCTTGCAATTCAGTCCCTTTCCTCCATTGCCCAGATTCGCGGAAACTAGACTTCCTCCGCATACACTGCAGTTTGGTCCCTTGGACATGCTGGATAAGATTTGCTTGGGTTTTGGAGGTATGCTGGGTGAGATTTTATGGATGTAGTTGAAATGAATGTTTCTCGGTGATAGAAATGATAGAAATGGTGAGAATGTTGGAGCGAAAATGGTGAGTAACGAGGAGAAAAAGGACGTAGACAGGCGCTTCTTATATGGTTGGGAGATTCAATAGGGTATTAGTATGGGAGTTCAATTGGAGAGCTTGAATCTGTGATACAGATAGTGAATAACAAGAGTATGTTAGTTATATTACTATTCTAACATTCACAGCTCCAGGAGAGTACATAGTCAGTGATGGATTCAGTAGGCCTTCACTTTCTTTGCACGAACAGGAGGCGATACCATGACTGAATAACACTCCAATATGAGAAATATGTGAAGTTGGGTATATCAATACATTTTTTCATAGATCATTCACAGTAGTCTTTGCACCAATAGTTGTTTCTAAAGGGATACTAAATGAACAGTCACAAAGACTGAAACCAAGGTCACAACTCACACTCTACTAATCATCACCATTTCCGTTCGATTTCTTTCTCCCCGTAATATCCGCTTGACACTAAAATATAGTACTCGTCCATGAGATGGATTTTGAAGAATAGCAATAATATACTCAATGGTACTCAAAGTAGTTGGGTTGAGAAGGATACATATCAATGCCACATACGGGCTATAATCATGATATCGGGTATCCCTGGTGAATGACATCCGCCAACTGATTTTGCCTACGATAATAGTAATCTGGTCATCTCTCACGAGCGAACACATATTAGCCACTGAGATGGCATTTTCAAACACGCACCGGAGAGCAATATCTACATTTTGAGTCACTATCACGTCGAATTTCTGTACAATAATCACCTCTCACAATCAAAACTTGAATACATGGCTTAGAGAAACGAAGTGATAAAACATTCTATGTTGATGGCAAACGCTAGCAGCTCCTCTTTCAAGCGGACATACATCTCCATGTAGAGAAATCTGGCGATGATTACGACACGGGTTTTGGACATGATATGAGTCCGCGTACAGCAGGATATCGAACGGGGATTGTAAGGAAGGTACCAATGAAGCACACCGTAGCGGAGCATGTAAAGCGTATAGCGTTCTTCTAGCTCATCCGTATCTGCTATTTCATCCGAGCCGTGTCGCCCAAGCCGGGTCGTCCCTATGAACTACCTCGTACGAGCTATTTCACACAAGTAATACGCTGATGTACATAAAATGACGCTGAAGAAGCACATGGTTATGAGAACATATTTTCTTCAAGGAGTAATCTGGTTACTTACATAGAGATGGTAAATCACTTACTTCTACCATACCTGCGCATCGAAATCTTGCTAGAATTGCTACGCACAGTTGGTTGTTGGTTGGAATAATCACCTTACTGTACACAGCGTTTACACTTTCTCAATACCAAAGTCAGAAACCACATGGCACTGGATGTGCTCCCTGGTAGTTGTCAACGCTGATCATCATCCTGGTATCTGGGGTGTTCTTCTAAGCGACATGGCAGTGCCGTAGCTGCCAATCTTACTGACTGCTGATCTCGGACTATACGGTAGCAATGTCAGTCATGTCACTGGCACCCAACGCAAAGACACGATCACCATCTTTGACTACCAGATACGTCACTAGCCTTGAGATGTTCAAGATTACAAAGCTCTCCTAATGAATTCCGATCTAGACCATACGGTTGCCGTTGCGGATAGACTAGACTACGCAAGCGAGTACTTTATCTACTCCACGTACAAGATTACGTGAGATACGAAAGAAGATTGATCATACACCAAGGCACAAAACTCAATGCCCTGAAACTCAAATCTCAAAAATAGTGGCAAGGTAAAAATAACCACTGCAAAGCAAACATACTGCTTGCTTTTCCCTTTACTTAGCCTCATCCTGATGCTCACACACATCCTTCCCTCCACGTGCATAAGCTTAAAACTCTAATGCTACGACCAAGTTATGATTACACCTCCATCGGCCCCAAGGAGCGCATATTTTGCACCGATCGATTATGCAAATATGGCCACGCACCACATACTTCGTCATCGCCGTCGTCGTCTCAGCCCAACCCGTACGTAAGCGAGATCAACGGCTCGTACCGACCAACTTACAGCACCAGCCGCCCAAAGTCACGCACGTACACACACGTAAGGAATAGTATGGTAAGCCTCAGCCTCAATCCACACGCACCTCCTTCCCGAAACACAACCACGTTCGGTTCAGGCTAACACCCACGCTCCCAATACAGTAAGACCCTACCCGCGACTCTGGGCACGGAAGCCTGCGGTACGAAGGAATACGCATGCGACTAGTTTCGAACCTTTTTCCTTTTCCTTTTTCCCTTCCACCGCAAAGCGCCGCTGACATACGGGACATTTGACATCGCAAATACGCCGTGTACGTCCCCCTTGTCCCCGTCTTCTCAGTAAACGGGCGCAAACGTACGTAAGAAAAAAACCCCCGCGAAAACGAAGAGTATGGGAAACTTGACTTCGAATTCGCAAAAAACACCACGTTTGAAATAATCCTCCATGGCAGGTTGTGCGCGCCGCATTACTTCCCCCCCTTTGCGTACATAGTCCACACATACGTACGTATGTATTCTAATGAAACCTGAATACGGGAAGACGGAGAGTGGGGACGATGGCGCATACATTTATTGTCCCCCCCCGTCCTCCGCCTCAAATCAACTATATACCCTATATCATCCATGTGCTATAAGGAGTTTTTACCGACACGATAGGTCCAAGTATATGTAACGTTGCACCGAAAACAGGTTCATCGGCGCTATTGGGTGGGCTCAAAAGGGGCAAGCCCTGTACGTCGACGAAGCCGGTTCGGGCTTGGTCTTGTTGGAATTGAATTTGGGAAACCCACCCACACACCCTCGACAGTTCCCGCGAAAGGAAGGGGGTGTGGGTGGGCCAGGGCGCGGGGGCTATTCAAGCATAAATCGACTATTTTTTGTGTGTTATTGACCGATTTGTACCGATTTGTACCGAACGGCCGGACCGAGCGGCGTGTCAGAAACGGGGAAAGGGCAGAAGATGTAACATTGAATATGCGGCTGTTGTGTCTGTTCGCGATTCCCAAGTAGTAGTGTGGCTTATTCTTTGCCCTTGATCCCCGAATTCCCGCTCAGAGTGCCGTTGGTAAACAAGGCTCATACGGAATGAAGCGGCCACGCTAATATCTCATGCTATTTTTATTTAAAAAAATTTGCCGATATGCGAGTTGAGCATTAAGGCAAAAAGATATGGTGTCATGTGGGTACACAGTAAGTAAGTAGCAAGGCAAAAACATGGGTGATAACAAGGAAACCACTGTGATATTTCCCTCTCATACCACACGCATCAGCCAAGAAAACATACAGCCAAGTTCACATAGAACCGGCAGGAAACGAAATTACCTTCCCCCAATCTTGCCAAAAAATAATCGATGATCAAGTTTTCTTGAGCAACAAAGCCACAGTTAGTTTAATCTACCTGAGAAAACACACACTTTACCGACCCGCTCCGCCCACATCTTATCTTTCTTCCACCGACGACGTTCAAAAACTAATTCAAAACAACCCTTAACATCAGCCACATAAGCTACTGCTACTACTACATACAAACCCGGCGCGTGCGCGCGCAACGCACGGGGAAGGATGTGGGAGGGGGGCAAATATGTGCGGTTACATGTAGAAAAACCCACTCTCTCACTCACACACAAGTATGCACGATAGTACAACCAACCATGCAGAAACCGGCGGCGGCGTTCGGTCGTCGGCGGCGGCTCGCTCGGACTACACTACTTCGCATGGCCCGGGACCCCATGTCGCACAAATTGGAAACACTGGCCAACGGCTCGTGGGGGGTTGGGGGTTTGGGGGGTTCGGGTGGTTAGAGTGGTAGTGCGCGATTTCACGGCATCTCCTTCTTTCCCTTCCCTTTCTCTCTCTCTCACTCTCAGAAAACAAGTAAAGCAAATGGAGGAAGTGGAGATTGGACATTTTTGCCCCCCCTTCCCCCCGTACGTAGGTATCTAGTAGCGCGCGAAAAAAGCGAAGAACAGCAAGGGCGGAAAAGCTACGTAGTAGAAGGATAATAGAAACGATGGAAGAGTAATCCCTTGGATTCCCCAAAGAAAATCCTTTGGACTATGCGTGATATCCACAAGCCAAGGTAGTAGTAAGTATGCGTTAGGCTACATGTCTCCGATACCCTCCTCAAACGATAATAACTCGGCACGGCTAATTATTCGCTCTTATGTTGCCCTCCGAAGCTGAGACTCGAGCTCGGTATTTCAAAGAAGGGGATAAGCGTTAAAATGGGATAAGCGTTGACGGGTGGGTGGGTAGCGGCAAAATGAGAAAGAAGAAAAAACGGTTCGCGGTAAAAGAGAGCGGCAAAGGGGAGGGGGGGGAAAGTTTAGCCAGGTTTACCGGGAGAAGGATATGTAAGGTAGGACCAGATGGTGAAACACGACAAGTACCGTGTATACAATGGGGATCCTAGAGAGACCACACAAGTTTAATTTGAGCCAAGGAATTATTGTTAAGATTCTTGATTTGATTTCTTTTTTGTGTATGTCTCTCTCTTTTTCATTCAGCTTGCTAATCTCCTAGGGTTACGAAAGAAATTTCGTCTAAACTAGATTTGGCCCTTTTCTCTCTTCTCATCTCTTCTTTCCGTGTCAAAAGTACACTACCTTCAAAGTTTCCCCCCACGCCAACTAAGTATGCAGCCTCCGCATATTTACTTGCTGGCTCATCAAAATGATTGTAGAGAAAAGGGAAGTGAGAGAGAAACAAACTCCGTTCGTGCCGTTCGATATCCCAATGAGCATTTTTGTTGTGATGGTAAAGGGAATCCGCAATGAAGCAGTATAGCCAAACCAATGCCCATTTGATACATTTTGTTGGTTGGTTAGATATTTTTAAGGAAAGTCGAGGGGCGGTGAACATAAGCCGCCACAAAGGAAAAAAAAACAAAGGACCAGTCAAAGTATCCATAGATTGTGTCTCAGTTCCATGCTCCAAATGCGAACCACAGGATCCCTAGATACCGTTCCCCTCCAATGTTCATACAAAGAAAATATGCCGCAGTAAAGGAAAGTAGAGAAAGGAAACGAAAAAGTCCAGTTCGCATACGCATGCATCACAGCTGTGTTATGCGCCATTAAATAGTCATTCGCTGGTTTAAACTCCGAGGTCATGCGAGAGGAAAAGGTGGTGTGTCGAGCTCATTCGAGCGAGGCCATAAAATCGTGGTATCAGGTGACGGTTGCAGTGAAGCAGCCGCACGTTGTTGGTTGGGTGAGGGCGAAGACACGTGGTTTCAGGATTTGGATGGAGAAGGTTCTCTGGTGTACTGGAAGAACTTTCTCAGTCTGCTGCCAATGTTCTTCTTCTTCTTTTCTCGAGAAGGCTCGCGATGTTCTGATTGCGGGCGCTGCTCAATCGAAAGCTTACTGCGCTCGCTGTTCGAAGACGAAGTGCCCATCAAACGAGACAGACTCGCAATGCTGGAACGCTTGCGACGCCGAGACTCCATCTCACTGGGATCAGACGACAGAGACGACGTGCGTTCACCGAATCGATGTGGGCTGACGAGTGGGAAACCACCCTGCATCGCACTAGTCATCGTTGATCGCGAAGATGTCAAAGAAGGCACCTCTGTAGAGATGCGGACTTCTGGGCCGGGTTCGCCAAAGCGAGGAGATGGCATGACAGGGTAATCGGTCATTGAAGAGGTCGCGGTGCCTCTACGCTCAGTATCGAAAATTTGGCTGGACCGATAGTCTGGCGATGAAAAGGACGACGCGATCGTGTCGGGGGTCATCATACTCTGCTGGTGAAGAGGAAGTGTCAAGTTCATGACAGGCTGACGTTGCTTAGGTGTATCTTCGGTTGTTTGAGGGGTAACAGTGGAATCGGAAGAATGTGTGAGGGATGATGTTCGGGGCTCCTCGTAGTCTTCTACGACTTGAACAGGTTCGGATTCCTGCGGTGATGGGCCATTGTCCTCGGTGCGGTCATCAGCAGGTGATGTTGCCCGAGGAGACAATGGCTCCGAGGAGTCAACCTTGTGCGCTTTTGGCCTCCTGTTGAGACCAAGTCCATCCTTGAAGGTCCAGTTGATTCCAGGCCCTTCTTGCTTCGAATCGGCTTCCACCACCGAAATCTTGAGCTCTGACGGGTCTGCAGTAGCTGGCCTTGTCTTGGTCGCCTTTACAGGAATGGTCAACTCGTCTTCAGGCTCCTCCTCTTCAAAGACATCAGCCATGGGCGAAGTATTCGCAATGACAGATGATCGGTTCTCAAAGGGCACCAATTCCGGCGCGCTTTCTGTCCTTCGATGCGAAGGCGCAATGCCATTGGCACTGTGCATGGCTCGTCGATGCGCCGAAAATCCACGCTGGTTCATGCGTGGGCTAGAGCCGTTGGGAGTGTTGAAGGGTCCAAGCGCGGCATCCAGGTCGATGACCGGGCTCATAATGTCAGAGTCGACGCGTTGTAGTGGACGAGGTTGCCAGGACGCGTAGCTCGTATCTACCGTTATTTGAGCTGCAGGGGTTTCAGTAGGGGATACGATTGTAACAGTCGTATCGTCATCAAAGTTGGGCTCAAAGTCAATTTCCTCTGACTCATCCGACTCGTCACCATCAACAACAGCATTGGGTGGTGGCGTTGGGGAGCGTGCTTTTGATTTTTTACCGTGCTTTCCCTTGCGAGTGATGATTGAGTTTGCCCAAGACTTGACTTTACGGGGTTTGTGGCTGCCCTTGCGGGAGGCGGATTTGGGCTTGGCAGAGTCTTTTGTAGACTCGTCGTTCTCAGACATGGGTGAGGGGAGGGTTGCATCGAAAGACTTTGAAAGAGCAGGGTCAGATGCGCTGGTTGGAAGAGTCGGAAACAAGCTGTCGGCTTTTTGCGTATCCTTGTGGTGGAAGAGACTTCGTCGTTTGGCCTGTGCTTTGGGAGTGGGCGTAGGAGCAGGAGATGGCGTGAGTGAGACTGCTGAGACGGGTCTTTTGCGCTCAAGAACCTCACCGTTCAGTTTGCCGCTGATGAACTTGTCCAGTACCATGCCCGCCGTGCTGGGTCGATCTTCGTCTTGAACCGTGTTCAGCGTGGGACGTGCTGCTCGAGGAGGCGCTGGAGCGTTGCCGCTGACAATTGATGAAAGACTGTTTGCTGCAGAGTGTCCACGGAGAGTAGACAGAGATCCCTCTGTCTCGGAGGAAATGGTCGAGAGCGGACGGATGGTCTCGATTCTATCAGAGAACGTCACTCGTGCTCTGGACGGTGGCCGCGCCGGATCGTCGTCGGACCTGTGGTCGCGCAGCGAGGGTTGAGAAATAGACCTGTTGAATTTGTGACCGGGTGCAAAGGGGTTGCCTTCAGAGGGTGTGTTGGGTGCGCTGCCAGCTGGTGCTACAGGAGGGCTCATAATCGAGGTCAAGTCATGAGAGGAAACAGCGCCTGAACGACGGTGAGCGTGTCCACGTCGGCCTGGTGGAGGACCTGGGCGTAGTGTCGAGCTTGGTGCAGGAAGGACATCCTCGCCCTTGGTAGGGCTGCTGCTTTTCAATGCGGTGCCTCCAGGCCGGATGTCACCACCAATGAATTCGCTTCCTCCCCGTTTATGTCCGTGAGACGGCTTCGAAGGCGATATTGGCACACCCAGGGTGTTGGGTGACACTGGTGGTGAGGGCTCTTTGGCGGGTTTTGGTGTTCCGGCAGGGTTGAAGGAGAAGTCTGGCAGGGCATTGATTGATTTTTGCCTGTGGTGTGGCATCGACCCTCTACGGCCGGACGGATAGGCTTGCAGTGACATTGGTCGTGAGTTTGCTGGCGCGGGAGCTGAGGAGGCAGCGTCTGGGTCTCGCATGGGAAACGAGAACTCTGGGTTAGGAATAAGCTCAATGGGCCCGGCATTTGATTGATGTCGACGCTGGTACAGGGGCGCGCCAATGCCAGACTGCGACTGTGTAGCGCGGTGTCGTGGCATCGCTGTTTGAGCCATGGCGAGGCGATTAGCTGGCCGTGGTGGCGCAGAGAGGTGTGGTAATGAGGCTGGACAAAACTAGAGCAGGTGTCGCCAACGGACGCGCAGGACGGTGGTTGGTCTGCAGGTGAGACTGGGGGGCGCGGGATGCGGAGACAGACCGGAGAATGCAGCAGGGTGTAGTGTGGTTGGGCGACGAGAGAGACAGAGGTGCTACAGGCGCGGGCACAATGGGCGTGAGACGAAACAAGCGCTCTCGAGGTACAAGAGCGGGCGCGATTACTACTGATGCGAGAGGATCAGCACAGGCAGCAAGTAGATTGCAGGGTGATGTGCAACGTGACGCGAGGACGATGGGAGCGAGGGCGGGTGCGTACAAGATGGCGTATGGTGCGGGTTTGGAGTTGAGAGCGAGTCTGGTTGGTGGACCGAGTGAAGCCAGTACACCCAAGAAGAAGAATTAAGGAACGACGAGGAAGGGAAAAGGAGCGGACAGATGCCTAGAGTCGCCTCGGGAAGGGTGAGTAGCGACAATGGGCTCCAGAGGGGGAGAGGGTTCGGGGGGAGCGGCGAGGATGGCGGGGGAGGAGAGGTGTTGACGGTGAATAGGCGGAGTGGGCGAGAGACGGGCACCTGGGCAACCCATCTCTTTTGTCGGTGGTTCCTGCCTAGTGCAGGCAGGCAAGGGGCCGTGCGCAGGGTGACAGGGATCCGGGATCCGGGATTCCATGCCACCTGCTCGTCTCTCGTCTCCGTCCCCTCCTCATTTCGCGCTGGCCTGCGTGCCTGCCCGGCGTGCCTGTCCTGTCCTGCCAGCCAGCCAGCCCGCTCGCTGCCCACTACGCCCGCTTGCTTTTTTTCTCCCTTGCACACCACCCACCAATGCACCCTTGTCGCTCACTACTGGATGCGGCGCGGGGTGGTGGTAATACTCGGTGGTGCTCCATCATCCCATCATCCCACGCACACACCTGTACTTGGTATTATATAGTACTGTACATACGTACATATGTATCCAAGTAGATGTACTAGACGCATCGCCCTCTTTGTGCACACGTCTCCCTCCGTCTGTGCCTGTGCCTGTCTGTGCCTGAACATGGCTCCCCCATGCCTCCCCATGCTCGTCACAGGCCCCCCTCTGGCGCACATCATGGCCAGCAAGCCAGGCAAGCCGTCGAGGGAGCAGTTCGTCTCGGCGAGCCAATGCCAGGCCACAGCTGGCTAGAGCGGCTTTGGGGCTGGCCTAGCTCCGTCATGGTGGTTTGCCTGCTGCGTCACTTGACTGGACAGCCGGCTGGCCTGCTATACCGCCAGGAACGGGCATTAATTGGCATTGGCATTGGTGTTGGCACTGGCTCGCCTGCCGAACCACTCGCTCCCTCTCATCGTTGCACTCGCAAGCAGTTGCATGCGGCTCTCTCAACGTCTGACCGCTGCTCCGGTGCGTGCGAAACATGGTCCTGTCTCCGCCTGGCCATCATCTCCTTCACCGTCTTGGCTGCATGTCGCAAGCTACAAGCCTTGCCACCTTTCTCCTCATCGCCCCGCTGCTAGCAGTCGGACAGCGCGGCTACATGCCAAATCACAGCCAAGCTATGCCCGTTTTACCGCTGTCACCTCCACGTCCACCGTTGTGACGCTCCGCCCTGTCCTGCCATCTGACGCCAGCTGGGCCCTTCCCGGTTTCTGGAGCAATGCCCTCACCTTCGCTGCCCGCCTCGAGACATGAAGATGGACACGGCCTGTTTCATCCTACCCGTTCGCAGTGGGGGGCTGCTCGCTGCCCGGGATGGACAGCCAAGCACGCATTCGATATGCAGCTCGGACAGACTACGCTCGTTTGATGCCCACACTAGCCAGGGGCACTGACGCCTCGCCATCTCGCTATCCCCCTTGCATCCACCACCTGAGCCTGTGCTCGCCACCCATAAATAGTCGTCGTAGACGAAATGCGGAGAAGTGGGATGAGATGACTGCACCAAGAAGCAAGCATTGTTTTGTTTATCATCTCACCTCACCCACCGCCGCCTTGTCTCCGCGAGGCTGGTTGCTGGCCCGTCATCCCACATAAAACCCAGCCTCCCCGACCACCACGACACACTGCACTCACTCACTGCCCTTCTTCCCAGGCCGAGGATGCATCCCGACTCAGTCCTGTTGCGGACCCGTTTTGGACCAATCTGGTGGGGTGCGTATGCAAAGATAAAGGAGCACACACACAGTACATAGACTACACCCTTGATGCGGCAATGCTGTGCACATTGATCCTCACTACATTACTGATATCGCCTGCGCTGCAGCTTGGCAACGCGTCAAGCCGGACAAGTACCCGTGTCTTGAGCCGTCGTCCCAATCGACGGCCACGGCAGCCTGGCGTTCGTGAAATGTCGCCTACTAGTTTCCGCCTCTACCATCTTAGTTTTTTCTTCTTCTCCAATGGCTGCAAAATTTGCTCGGCCGTCTAGGAAGTCAGGGTCAGGGCAAGGCGGTCAAGGCTAGCATGACCCTGCATGCGCAATTGCAGCACGTATTTCGTCGTCGCATACACACCTGCATGTACACATACGCACACACACAACACGCAACCCAATTCAACTCCTGGCTACCTCTGTTCATATACATACTCTTTGCACCCCAATGCCTATGCGCTGCCATGCGCGCGCTCCCGGTTCGTGTGCTCACAGGACGGGTTCGGTCTCGCACCAGGACCATGCTCCTATTTGGTTTATTGGCTCCGACGTCATGAACATGGACTACCATGTCTCCCGCTCTCTGCATCATCTGAATGATCTCCAGGGTCTATCTATTCTCGACATGCCTATACACCTGTCATGGGCTGAAAAACAGGTTCCGCAAAATTTGTCCATCTTCATTTCTCACGATCCACCTGTCGTTGGTGTCATCATCATCTTGCAAAAAAACATGTCTTGCCAAGCATGCTCGGAGTGAGCGGCTTTTGGTGCTGGCCCGAGAAGGCGGGCGTTCAAATGAGCGTCGCAGCCAAACCTATACGCACTGTCCCATCTGGCGCTGGCAATACGATCTGTGGAGCACAATGCCCGCAACGGCGTCCCTTGTAGCTTCCATTGCCTCCATGGATCTGCGCCAGCAAAATCTACGTAGCGTCAGTGTTTTTTTTAACTGCTATGACCAGCGGTGAAGAGAGCAGAAAAAAAACTGTGCGCGGCAAATACCATGACTATTTCTCTAATTGCGAATGAGGCTGCCAAGCAGTATGTCGCTGCGGGACAGGCTATAGAGACACCTTCAGGACTTACCGTGTCCTTTTGCAAAGCTCAGACATACGCATTCGCATGCGAGTACATAGTTATTGGTACTGCACCGCCACTGTGCTTCTCCACCTGTCGCAAATCCCTCCGCGGCAACTGTTTGGTCTACATCTGCCGACTTCCCGTCCACCTGCATCTCAAATCTTCCGCTGACGCCCGTCAATATTGCGCATCTGTACCTGAGTAGTCTATGTACGTATGTACGTATACACATGTTATGACCTTTACGATGCACATTCGCCAACCCTCGCTCAGGGGGGAAACGTCGCCCCTCCTGAATGGCCGACCAAGGAACGAGACGTCGGCATGTAGACGGCCCTGTCGGCGAAAGCTGGTAATACTTGACGTATCATGTATTATCAGCAAGGTTCAAAGGTACACGATTGCACAAATCACGAATCTCGTTTCATCTGTGTTTTGATGCCGGATGAACGACGAGATTGCCAATTTCCGGCTTCTATTTTTCCCTATTGCCAAATAGGGGATGCGCCACGAACAATTCGATAACTCTGGCCAATAGCAGGCACGTAGCCACCGGCTGCGCCTTACTTACTTGCTCCCAGACCACCTGACCATGGTTTACCCACATCACGGACAAGCCTTGGATCCGAGCACGGCGACTTTTGTTTTTGTTGCCTTGTTTTCTTCTTTACCATCATCATCGTCATTGTTGTTCGTCGCGTCGTCGTCGTCGTCTTCTTCGTTGTCATGGCTCCAGGACTCGGCGCCGGCTTGACGTGGCAACAACGTGGATGTTATGAGCGAATTTTGGGAGATTGCGCTGCTAGGTGGGCCTGGTAATTTGCTCTACCAATCCGTGCTGTGAACACACCAATACGTACACACATTCACTCTCCAACCATTCACCACCTAGGAAGCGTACTGTCGAGACCCGCAGAGCCGCATACCCAAGTTGCGGACAGCCAACCACGCTTCATCCCAACAAAAACTACCTCTCCAAGTTCGGAGCCAGTGAGATGTTCTGCCAGCGCATTATCAACCATGGTTCGCCGTCATGTGCTTGCTCCAGCATGCTGCTCACCTACTCCAAGGTCTAGGCCACCTTTTCTCCGGACGAACCAGAGGCGCCTACCCCACACCCAGGCACCGCTCCTGAAACTATGGCTGTATGCGTCTTGTCTCGCCAGCTCCAGACTCGCCAAGTAGGGAAAAAAAGAATAGCTTCGGTACCTGGACTTGTGGATCGACGATAATGCCCGACTTCTTTTGCTGATGGCTTGTTCCTTGACCAAAGGCGCAAGCAGCTGTTTTTACAAAATCTCGATCCAACACGCCAAGCATCATGTTGGCAATTGTGTTGAGACTTCTGCTAATTTACTCGCTCCAATAGGGCGAATATGGAATGTACTGTGACAACTCGAGTTTTTGGTGTCGGTGACGCGGCTCGCGAAACCATCACCAGACGTGCTCTTACTCTGGGATTCCACGTTATCTGAGTGACGGGCTGCCATGTAACTAGGTGACGCCACGGAGCGCCATCACACACCGGAGCGTCCGTCGCATCCTCCTACTTCTCCCTTGAATTACTCGATTGGTTAAATCTAATTCCAGACGTGGCTGAGCCGAGGCTTGATGCTCACACCTTGGCGACGACCTGGAACGTAAAGCCCACGACGCTCTAGCCATCACTCAGCTTTCATGACTAGACCTCATATGTCGTGCCGGGGGATACTTGCCTGATTTGTCCATGGACTCTGCTTACTTAACATTATATCACGAGGACTATCATACTCCTAATGTCCATTGCTTCAACCATTATTGATGAGCGATGTGCAAACTGCAATCCGCACATCACAAAGCGGCGTGGTCGCAGTTGGTCATTGGATCCTTTCCACAATCCTCGATTCAAGGTCAATGATCGACAGACCCAAGGAGAGACCAAGCCTTTGATAGACAAAGGTGTCCAGCCGTAAGGACCATAAGCGCTTCTGGGTGCGCAATAAATACCTGGCTTGGAATAGTCAAGCAGACACTACGAACGCATGGTAGAGGCCGACTTGCACCAAATGTGTTTCCCCTGTCAAAGTGCAGTCGTGCTAAACTTGCACCCGACAGAAATAAGCTCATTCGATGCAGAAGTCGCTGACAACTCACATGAATCGCTGGGTCCGTACGTAAAAGCCTACGTGCGTATGTAGACTTGTCACGCCACGGCACTCGTCAAGTGTTTCCAATGGCGATCAAACCGTCTGGCACCCATCAAGCCATCTCATCACCATCGCTACCGATGATCAGCGATCAGCCAGCAGCCCTGTGACCCAGCAAAACTCTATTGCTATCGATAAGAATCAGCTCATAGCCAGACTATGCGTAAATTTGCACTATGGGCGCCGGTTCAAAGGCAGTGCGTGTTCACGCGCCGCGGTTCTCGGCTCCAAGCGGAGACGCCACCAACCACTGTAGGAGAAAGGATAACTGCCGTGGCAAGCTGATGCATCCAACTAAGCGAGGAAAGCAGTGGCGCTTTGCGGATGTAGCGGCGTCTATAGCTTGGTGGTGGAAGGCGCTAATGCAACTGTGTAACAACCGACTCTTCTGTCTCAGCTGGCACTCGCGGGGTCATTGTAAGCCCAGTTGGTCAGCAACACGTATGTATTGCATGTAGGTGGAGTAACTTGTGTTGGCCATGCGACTAAAACCAAAAGAAATACGACGGTTTTTACCATGAATGAGGGGGGTGCTTTTACCAACCGATTTTTGAGACGGATTAGTCAAACAGTGGTAGGTTTGATAACGTCGTTGGATACGAGACTCTGGGATATTGGTGCTTCGGTTCCATTCACACGTGAAAGAAAAAACATTGCATGAATCAGACAAAGATACGAGGGGACTAGGTGGTGGAGAACTATTCATTGTCTCTATTATCTGACTACTTTACATGCAAATCCATGGAAATGTTATTATGTTGAGTATTTCTAGTATACACCCTTGTCTAAAGTTTCAAGTCTTATACCCCCATAAGATGACACCACTATTGAAACCAGGTCTTACTTGGTATCCTTGGTCATCTCTTTCTTGCTAAACGCGTGACTTTCAGTGTCACATAGACAGATGAGTGAGAGAGCTCGTTTATAAGAAGCAGGATTTCTAGACCAGAGTTTCGTCGCCAGTGTGGCAACAAATGCAATTATACAACGAGTATGCTATATGATCATGAAAAGTGTTGGTTAGTGATGTACTGAGTTTTGTTAGAAGAACGAAGGTCAAACTCACGATCGATGGTGGGATTGAGGATCGTCACTTAGTATAAACACTTAATTGCTCGTTGACACGGGACTACAATAACACACCCAGAGTCTGAGTTCTCAGCCTACCCTTTGCCTATAAGCAACGAAATATGCGACCATAATCATGGAAAATAACTTAAGTGAATAGCGTGCAATGCATTCTGTGACGGTGAATACGGCTAGCAACTTGTCATTCGACAACAGCTATCAAATGTCATGTTAAGAATTTCGAAAATTAACCAAAATAGAGCCCTCAAATACTAGAGAGGATCTAGGAATAGTATTCATTGAATATACATGTCCACGCAGACGTTGTAATGTTCACTATCCAGAATAGTGTGGACGATCTGGCTATTCCATACACAGACTAGCGTGATCTTGCGGCGCAAGTTGGCATCATCGGGGTCCTGGAGACACAAGCTCCCCCACATTCAGTTGTCGAGCTTCGCGACCACTTACCGACCGCTCTACCAAAAGATCATAGCCTCTGCACAAAATGGCGGACGAAGAAAAGGAAAAGGCCGAGAAGATGGCGGCGGCGAAGAAGCGCGTATGTATTTCTCTTGTGTGAATTTAGTGCTTTTGAGAGGTAGTGTTTCTTGGCTGTATAGTCACTGAACGCAATGTACCCCATGCAGTACATATACTAATGTCAGACACTAACATTTGCTATTAGTATGAACAATTGAAGAAGCAGAAAGCGAAGAAAGGCGGAAAGAAGAAGGAGGACAAGACTGAAACTCCCGCCGAAGCCGAAGCCGAAGCATCGACCGAAGCCGCAAATACCGAAGAGACGTCTGAAGAGAAGACCGAGCAAATCGCACCAGAACCTGTGGAGGCTACCAGCGTACCTCCGCCTCCAGCCGAGGACGAGGAAGAAGACGATGAGCCCTCAGAATTGCCCAAGCAGCCGCACGGTCGCAAGCCTTCGGTCGCTATCGAGTCGCGACAACGGTCAGAATCATTTTATCGCTCAAGAGCTGCCGGGCCTTTGTCGCCTGGAGTTGGTGTCACAAGTGAGGTATACCGGGAACAAGCACAGAAGATTGAAGAGCTGGAGAAGGAAAACAAAAGACTAGCAAGTGAAGTTGAGGAGAATGAGAGAAGGTGGAAGAAAGGCGAAGAGGAACTAGAGGAACTTCGAGAGAGCAGAGGCGATGCTGCCCTTGCAGTTGAGAAGGGCAAGGAGGTTGACGCACTGGTAGGTGCTCATGTTTACAATTTCTTTATGGGCAATCCTGACCTGTCATACAGAGAACGGAAGTCGAGTCGCTCAAGAGACAGCTTTCTCAAGCACAATCACAAAGCAATAAATCCACACGCCGTACAGCGACCGCATCCCCAAGCCAAAGCGCATCGATCGATGACCTGAATGCACAAGTTGCTTCCAAGTCTGCAACTATTGAGTCGCTTGAACTTGATATTTCAAATCTCAACAGGCAATTGTCAGAACAAACAAACAAGAACAATGAGCTCCAATCGAAGATTACAAGTCTTGAAAGCGCAGTAGAGAAGGCAGAGCAGGAGGCTAATTCGACAAAGACGGAACTACAGGAGTTGAAGGCGAGCTTGGATAAGGCTGGTGACCAGGCAGAAAAGGATGGATCAGACCGCGACTCTGCGCAGACTCGTATTGCGCAACTAGAGGCTGAGCTAGGCACTGCCAACCGCAAGGCATCAGACTCGGTCTCACGTGCTGAGTTGTTGGAGAAGAAGATTGAGACTCTGACACAGCTACACCGTGACAACGATACACGCAACCAATCGCGTCTACAAGAACACAAGAAGGTTGAGCGCGAAGCCGCCGAGTTAAGAACTCGCATTACGGGTCTCAGCAACGAGAACGCGCGTCTCCGAGAAGCAGAGCAGCGCCGCAGAAAAGCAGATCTCGGCTCCATCGAAGACTCCAGCGTCCAAGAGCTTCTGGACGAGGAACGCGACCGCCTTCTCGCCAAAGTCCGAGAACTCGAAGAAGAAAACTTCGAGCTCCGCCGCGGCGTATGGCGCGACCGTCGCCGTGACATGCAACCCTCAATCGACGACCAAGCAGACCCCAACAACTTCGACGACATCGACCTCTCTGGCGCACCCTCCTCCCGCCAACCTCCACCCAACCGCACCCACTCATCCTTCCAAGATGTCATCCAATCCGGCATCTCAGCCTTTACCGGCCAAACCCCCGCACACCACCGCCGCAGCGACGCAGCCAACAAGCCCAAGCCCCGCCAAGAGAGTCTGGGCAGCCTCGACGAGTTTGAAATCGATGAAGACGCTTTTAGACGCGCGCAGGAGGAGGAAGCGAAGAATCGCCTCGAGCGCGTACGAGAAGTCAAGAGGGGACTTGTGCAGTTTAAGGGGTGGAGACCTGATCTCGTTGATGTACGAGTGGGCATGGGTGGTGTTTTTGAAATCTAGTAGATGAATGAATACACATACAAATACAATTGCTTGATTTATATACTAGCCCTGCTCATACTGCTAAGTGCTGTATCTTCATATCACGCACTCTGAATTATAACCATGTTTGAACATCACAGTCACCATGGGAATGGGACTTGGGACTTGTCCCCTTTCTGTCACACGTCTCACGTTTTGACATTTAACAGCATGGATGCACACACCACCCAAGGAAGTGTCGCGTTCTTTTCTTTCCTTGTTCAGACTAAGAGTTCTCAAACACCTTCTTTCTCTTCTAGAGCATGAATCCGTCCCGCCTGACAGATGTATAGTATAATGCGAACTTTTTTCTTCTTTGAAACTACGGTGGGGGGGAGTGGTTAGGGTAAATCGTCTGGCGCGACTTGTTGGATAGAGAATACTGTTAAGGGCGAAGAGGCCTTCGAACGAGTTTGCATTAGCCTATAGTACAGAAGAAGAAAGATAAAGAGAGTTAAGTTGTTGTACGACACTTCTCTCTTTATACCCCCGCTTCTACGTTCTTTGTACGAGTAAGGTTCTAAGTAGGCGGTATGTTATA